CCGGCTGGAGATCCTGAAGCGGAAGTGGTGGGAGGGCAGCAAGTGCCCCAAGGAGGAGGACCACCGGGCCAAAGGTCAGCGGTCAACAGAAGAGGGGTGGATGTATGGGGGACCCCAATCTGGGAACACATAGGACAGGTTCAACTTGAGGCTTCCACTTGGTTGACTTGGTGGCCATGGCTTGGCTTCACGCCCCCTGGTGGCCGCAGAGGGAGATGCAGGCAGGGAAATGTACACAACAACATGGCAAAGTATTTATTACAATATATTTATGATCTTTATTTAAGGTATTTACTCATATTATAATAAACTACACATTTTCTGTGTAGTTTGCAAGGTATTTATTTTCTGCACTTTGCAAAATATTATTATAACTTCAGATTATAATATTTTGCAAAGTGCAGAAAATAAATACCTTGCAAACGACACGTAAAATGAATATCTGTAGTTTGCAAGAAATTTATCACCTGCAGTTTGCAAAATATTTATTATCTATCGTTTGCAAGGTATTTATTACACTACGTAACACTAAGGTTTTGTTCCTGGGTTATAAATGTCATTATTTCCTCATTGGTTTTATCATGAAAACGTGGGGAAAGTTGATTAAACTGCAAAACCTTTGCTTTTTGCAGAACATTCTGCAGTACATTTTTCTCTAATTATTATTATCCTCTTGAAGTAGACACAAAGCAATGAAGGCGATCTTTGTGTAATGAAAATATTATTATTATTGTTATTATTGAGATAAAAAGTAATTGATGTGGCTGTTGCTTCATGAAATTAGTACTATTACTACTACTACTACTCCCATGATTTAGACACAAAACAATGGATGTGACCTTTGGGTAATGAAATTATTATTATTATTATTATTATTATTATTGAGATAAAAAGTAATTGATGTGGCTGTTGCTTCATGAAATTAGTACTATTACTACTACTACTACTCCCATGATTTAGACACAAAACAATGGATGTGACCTTTGGGTAATGAAATTATTATTATTATTATTACTGAGATAAAAAGCAATGGATGTGGCTATTGCATCATGAAATTACTACTACTACTACTACTACTACTATTCCCTTGATTTAGACACAAAGCAATGGATGTGGCCTTTGTGTAATGAAATTATTATTATTATTATTACTGAGATAAAAAGCAATGGATGTGGCTATTGCATTCATGAAATTACTACTACTACTACTATTTATTTATTTACAAACATACAATGCCATAGACACACAACATATATAGACAGACACACAGAGGCTATTTAACATTACAGCTTTCATGAGGGCATTCTGGCCACTGGGGGAACTATCACTTCACCGTCCCTTAGAGACAATGATGGAGTACTTCCTCATTCTTTTTGCATGCTTGCTGGAGATTTTTATGGCATCTTAAATTAGTTAAATTAGCCTCCCTGCATAAGTGGTACCTAAATGTCCTACTTGACAGATGCAACTGTCTTTCGGGCTGCAAAGGTCAACAGCAAGCTAGACAATTAATGGTTGGGAGCTCACTCCGATCTGGGCTGGCTTCGAACTCTTGGTCAGTAGTCAATTAATGCAGCTGGCTACTAACCAGCTGCGCCACTACTACTACTACTACTACTACTACTACTACTCCCTTGATTTAGACACAAAGCAATGTCCATTGTATGAAGACATAATTATTATTCTCATCATCTTCTTGATTGAGACACAAAACAATGGATGTGGTCATTACACAAGGAAATAATAATAATAATAATAATAATAATAATAATAATAATAATAATAATTTCCTTGATTTAGACACAAAGCAATGAATGTGGCTATTGCATGAAATAATAATAATAATAATAATAATAATAATAATAATAATAATAATAATAATAAGCAGCCAGCAGAGTGTCTGCTGTGGACTCATCTTGTTGTGTTTCAAATTATTATTATTATTATTATTATTATTATTATTATTATTATTATTATCTTGATTGAGACACAAAGTAATGAAGGTGGCCATTGTATGAAGATATTATTATTATTATTATTATTATTATTATTATTATTATTGAGATAAAAAGCAATTGATATGGCCATTGCATCATGAAATTACTACTACTACTATTCCCTTGATTTAGACACAAAACAATGGATGTGGTCATTGCACAAGGAAGTAATAATAATAATAATAATAATAATAATAATAATAATTCCCTTGATTTAGACACAAAGCAATGAATGTGGCCATTGCATGAAATAATAATAATAATAATCAGCCAGCAGAGTGTCTGCTGTGAACTCATCTTGTGTTTCAAATTATTATTATTATTATTATTATTATTATTATTATTATTATTATTATCTTGATTGAGACACAAAGTAATGAAGGTGGCAATTGTATGAAGATATTATTATTATTATTATTATTATTATTATTATTGAGATAAAAAGCAATGGATGTGGTTATTGCATCATGAAATTACTACTACTACTACTACTACTATTCCCTTGATTTAGACACAAAGCAATGGATGTGGCCATTGTATGAAGACATTATTATTATTATTATTATTATTATTATTATTATTATTATTATTATTATTATTCTCATCATCTTCTTGATTGAGACACAAAACAATGGACGTGGCCATTACAGAAGGAAATAATAATAATAGTAATAATCCTTCTCTTCTGGATTGAGACACAAAGGAACGACAACAGCGCACATGCCTCGCGCCACTGACCATAGTTTGCAGAGTGCTGGTTGTGGTGTGTGGGAAGAGCAACATCTGGCGTTCTCCTTGGTCACCTTCCCTCATTCTATCTCTCCTTCTCCTTTCTGGACCAGGGCTGGGCATGGAGAACATCGGGGGCATCTTCGTGGTGCTCATCTGTGGCCTCATCATCGCCGTCTTTGTGGCCGTCATGGAGTTTGTGTGGGCCACACGGCGCTCGGCCGAACACGAGGAGGTGAGGCGTGTTCTCCACTGAAAAGAGCCACAAAAGATGCCCACCCAACCTCTGTTGGAGCCCCCCAACGATGAAGAACCCTCTGAGGCAGTCTCTAATCCATAAGGCTGGAAGGGGCCCCCAGAGGTTATCTAGTCTGACCCCTTTCAACTGTGGAGGAATCCCCATAGTATCCTGGTTTTGGAAGGCCATCTAGCCCACCCCATTTCTCCAGATGTCCATCTTCGTTCTCTGTGGCCTTCTCACTACCTTCTTCACTATTTGAAAGATGCCCACCCAAAGACGGAGGCGCCACCACCTTCCAAGGCAGTCCTTGATCCAGTAGAGCGGGAAGGGACCCTAGAGGTCACCTAGTCTGACCCCATTTAGCTACGTAGGAGCCACAGTAGATTCCTGGCTTTGGAAGGGACTCCAAAGGACATCTAGTCTGATCCCATTCATTCACCCCCATGGAATCCAGACTTTGGAAGGGCTCCAAGAGGTCACCTCCACCAATCCCATAGAGCCATTCGGGAACCACCATAGAATTCTGACTTTAGAAGGAACCTACAAAGGCCTGATCCCATAGAATCCTTGCTTTGGAAGGGTCCCACAAAGGACATTTAGTCTGATCCCTTTCAGCTAGGCAAGAACCCCCATAGAATCCTTGCTCTGGAAGGAAATCCAAAGGTCATCTAATCAAATCCCATAGAATCCTCGCTTTGGAGGCCATCTAGTCTGATCCCATTCAGCTAAGCAGGAACCTTCACAGAATGGCACCCAGAGGCCATCTAGACCAGGCATGGGCAAACAACCGACTGTTAGGAATTGTGGGAGTCGAAGTCCAAAACACCTGGAGGGCCGAAGTTTGCCCATGCCTGGTCTAGAACAAACCCACACAGCTATGCAGGCAGCTCCATAGAATCCTTGCTTTGGAAGGGAATGCCAGAGGCCATCTAGTCTGATCCCATTCATCCCCACTAGAATCCTATCTTGGGAAGGGGCACCCAGAGTCCATCTAGACCAACCCCACACAGCTATGCAGGAACTGCCATAGAATCCTCATTTTGGAAGGGAATCCCCAGAGGTCATCTAGTCTAATCCCATCTACCCCCCCCCCCCCAGAATCCTGGCTTGGGAAGGGGCACCCAGAGGCCATCTAGACCAATCCCCACAGCTATGCAGGAACTGCCATAGAATCCTCACTTTGGAAGGGACCCCAGAGGCCATCTAGTCTAATCCCATCACACCCCCCCCCCCACCTAGAATCCTGGCTTGGGAAGGGACCCACAGAGCCCATCTAGTCTGACCCCATTCAGTCAAGAAGGAGCCTCCATAAAATCCTCAGTTTGGAAGGGATCCCCAGAGGTCATTTAGTCTGATCCCATTCACCTCCCCCCACCCAAATCCTGGCTTGGGAAGGGGCACCCAGAGGCCATCTAGACCAATCCCACAAAGCTATATAGGAACCACCATAGAATCCTCTCTTTGGGCGGGACCACCAGAGGCCATCTGGTCTGATCCTATTAATCCCCTCCCTAGAATTCTGGCTTTGGAAAGGGCACCCAGAGGCCATCTAGACCAATCCTACACAGCTATGCAGGAACCTCAATAGAATCCTCACTTTGAATGGGACCCCTAGAGGCCATCTAATCTGATCTCATTCAGTCATGAAGGAGCCTCCATAGAATCTGATCTGACCTCATTCACTCCTCTAGAATTGTGGTTTGGGAAGGGGCACCCAGTGGCCATCTAATCTGATCCCATTCAGTCATGAAGGAGCCTTCATCGAATCCTGGCTTTGGAAGGAACCCCCAGAGATAATCTAGTCTGATACCATTCACGCCCCCCTAGAATCTTGGCTTGGGATGGGACCCCCAGAGCCTATCTAGTCTGATCCCATTCAATCATGAAGTAGCCTCCATAGAGTCCTTGCTTTGGAAGGGACCCCAGAGGCCATCTAGTCTGATCCCATTCACCCCCCTAGAATCCTGCCTTGGGAAGGGGCACCCAGAGGACATCTAGACCAATCCCACACAGCTATGCAGGGGGCTTCATAGAATCCTCGCTTTGGACGGGACCCCCAGAGGCCATCTAGTCTGATCCCATTCAGTCATGAAGGAACCTCTGTAGAGTCCTCTCTTTGGAAGGAACCCCCAGAGATCATCTAGTCTGATCCCATTCAACCCCCTAGAATCCTGGCTTGGGAAGGGGTTCCCGGAGGCCCCCTAGCCCACCCCTCCTTGACGCCCTCCTCTCCCTCTCTCGCCTTGCAGATCTCGGTGTGCCAGGAGATGCTCCGCGAGCTGCGCCACGCCGTCTCCTGCCGCAAGCCCTCGCGCGCCCGCCGCCGCCCGCGCCGCCACCACCACCACCACCACCACTTGGGCCCCGGCTCCTCGTTGTCGTCGTCCTCCTCGCGGGGGGGCCCGCTGTCGCTGCGCGCGGTGCGGGAGATGCGCCTCAGCAACGGGAAGCTGTACTCGGGCAGCCTGGCCTCGGACCCCGGCCCCCAGCGCCTCCTGGAGGAGACCCCCCCACCCGGGGGACCCCCCCGCCCCTGCGCCCACGTGCGCATCTGCCACGAGTGCCGGCGCATCCAGACTCTGCGAGGGGGGGCGCCCCAGACCCCGCGTGGGACCCCCCTGCTGCCCCCTCCTCCGCCCCCCCACGAGGAGGGCTCCCCCCGGCCAGGGAGGAAGGGGGGAGGGGCCTCTGCAGGGGGAGGGGGCTCGGGGGCAGGAGGGGGAGGGGCAGAGTGACCCCCTTGGCGATGGAGCCCCCCAAATGGCCCCCCTTCGCCCCCCATTCCCTCCCTCGCTCCCTGCCTTCGCTCTCTCCGGCGGAGGCCCTCGGTAGACATGTACGCTGTGCGTATGCCTTTGGGGGACCCCAGAAGACCCTCCCCCTGTGAAAAGCCCTGTCTACTTTTGGGGGGCAGCGAACCCCAACTCTTGACCCCAAAGGGAGGCCAGCTTTGCGAGAAGAGGACTTCCGGGCGGACACTGGCGTGCGGCACCTCTCTCTCTCTCTTGAGTGGACAGTGGGACCTCCGGTCACTATTTTGGGTGGACGATGGGACCTCGGAGCTGTCTTTGGAGTGGACACTGAGCAAGGTTCCGTTCGGCCCAACGATGCAGCGAAAGCACGGCCAGAACATTCTTGGGGGGCGATGGAAGCCCCTTGACCCAATTTTGTGGGGTGAAAAGAGATGGAGGACCCCCTTGATCCAAATTGTGGGGTCACAAGAGAGGGCGGAACCCTCCAACGCGGTCCCGTGGGGTCACACATTGTGGCAGAAGCCCCTCGCCCCGATTTTGTGGGATAACGACACGGCAAGACCCTCCGGCCCAACTTTCTGGGTGACAAGGGTGGGCAGAAGCCCCCAACCCCATGGGGCATTCTGGGATGGCAGAAGACCAACTTTAGGATGGGAAAGTAGGCGGAAGACCCCCTTTGTGGGGTCACGAGGCACGGCAGAGCCCTCCAACCTGGTCTTATGGGGTCACGTATTATGGCAGGAGCCCCCAACCCAATGTTTTGGGCGTGAAAAGAGATGGAAGGACCCCCCCAGTCTTGTTGGGGAAATAGGAAACCCCATTATTTGGAGTCAGAGGAAATGGGGGGGGGGAGGCCTATTCTATGGGGTGAGCCTCCCATCCTCTGCCTTGAACCCCACTTTCTTTCTGCCATCGGGCCCCCAAAACTATTGGGTTTGAAGGGATGCCCCAAAATAAGATGGCGGAGGGGTCTGCCGCTGCCCCGGTCTTTGGGGGACACTCTACCCTCTGGGGACACTCCACCCGCTTTGCCTTTCTAGTAATATTAGGGGTCCCTTCCCCTTTTGGGGGGCAAAAGGCTGACTCTGGGGGAAGAGGCTGGACTCCAGCCCCATTGAGGACCCTCGGATAAGGGATTTTGGGGTCCCATGGAAAGGGGTCGGGCCCCCAAAAGTGGGAAAGTGGGGGGAGGCGCCCCACCCAAACAACAACAACAACAACGTCTTGTCTGTCTTTTTTTAATTTCCGTTTTCTTTCCTTCTTTTTTGGGAGAAATTTCTATATAGGAGCCAAAAAGAAAAAAGAAACGGAGACTTTAGTGGCAAACAACCCCCCAAAACGACAAAATAAACGTGAAAATACTTGATTCTTTTACGCGGCTGAACGGAAAACATTCCTTATTTTTTGGGAAATGGAAATCTCCATAACCTTTGGGGAAAACCTGAGAAGAGTTAAACACTTACTTCTCCTTCCTGGTAAATCTCCACCAGCATAGGAGTCATGCAAGGCAATTAGGTTTCTCAGTTGTTAGACTGATATACCTAGGGATCTCTTTGAACTGCCAGGGACAAAAATATGCAAGTGCAGAGTTTCAGAAGTGGTTTTTTTTTCAGTTGCCCAAAAACATCTTTCCCTCAAAACATTTTGGTTTAAATCATGCTCTCAAGAGACAAAAATAAGGTAGGTTTCTTTAAAAGTAACATAGTTGGTTTACTCACAAACTTCATATATTCAGCATACAGGTGCATTGCTTATCAGACCAGTTACAGGTAGGATTTGAAGTAGTTTCTCTGTGCAGATAACACAGGGCGTCTTTCGTAGAATCTTAACAGTCCAAAGTCTCTTCCAACTCTAGGATTCTATGATCTGGGACTATTCAGGACTCAGACTCCATTTTAGAAACAGTAAGCTTCTAGAAGTCAGTAGAGGCAGAAGGCCTTGCAGCAGGCATAGGCAAACTTTGGCCCTCCCTGCTTCTTGCCAGAATAGGGTTGGGCTGGATGGCCCACCAGGTCTCTTTCAACTCTAAGAGTCTATGATCTGGGACTATTCAGGACTCAGACTCCATTTTAGAAACAGTAAGCTTCTAGAAGTCAGTANACCCAAAGCCATGAATCCCAATGAGGAGCGGCTTAGGGAAGGGATCTAGGTGACCCAAAGCCATGAATCCCAGTGAGGAGCGGCTTAGGGAAGGGATCTAGGTGACCCAAAGCCATGAATCCCAATGAGGAGCGGCTTAGGGAGCTGGGAAACAGCTTGGAGAAGAGAAGGTCAAGAGGGGACAGGAAGAGAGCCAGGCCGGAATATTTATTTATTTAGTATATTTATATCCTGCCCCTCTCAGCCTTCCGGCGACTCGGAGCGGTTTACAAGGCAAAAATGCAATGCCATCAACAACATAGATACAACATACAGTATGAAAGATCAACAACAATAAAATCATCGCATTATAATAAAATATCCTTCAAGCGATGCTCATTAAAACAATGTCCAGTCCCGTCATGTAGTTGTTCCATTATTATATCCGTTACTCGGTATTCACAAATGCCTGCTCAAATAGCCATGTCTTAAGATTCTTCCGAAATGATAGGAGCGAAGAAGCCGATCTAATCTCCCTAGGAAGGGCGTTCCATAGCCATGGGGCCACCACCGAGAAGGCCCTGTCTCTCGTCCCCGCCAGCCGTACTTGTGATGGTGGTGGGACCGAGAGCAGGGCCTCTCCAGATGATCTTAAAAGTCCTCGCAGGTTCGTAAGGTTTCAGCGGTGGCCAGGAGAGCTTTTGCACAACTAAAACTTGCGCACCAATTGCGCCCCTACCTTGGGAAGTCTGATCTGGCCACAGTGGTCCACGCTTTTCATAGAATCATAGAATCAAAGAGTTGGAAGAGACCTCATGGGCCATCCAGTCCAACCCCATTCTGCCAAGAAGCAGGAATATTGCATTCAAATCACCCCCGACAGATGGCCATCCAGCCTCTGCTTCAAAGCCTCCAAAGAAGGAGCCTCCACCACACTCCCTCCGGGGCAGAGAGTTCCACTGCTGAACGGCTCTCACAGTCAGGAAGTTCTTCCTCATGTTCAGATGGAATCTCCTCTCTTGTAGTTTGAAGCCATTGTTCCATTGCGTCCTAGTCTCCAGGGAAGCAGAAAACAAGCTTGCTCCCTCCTCCTCCCCGTGGCTTCCTCTCACATATTTATACATGGCTATCATATCTCCTCTCAGCCTTCTCTTCTTCAGGCTAAACATGCCCAACTCGTTATGCCGCTCCTCATAGGGCTTGTTCTCCAGACCCTTGATCATTTTAGTCGCCCTCCTCTGGACACATTCCAGCTTTTGTTACATCCCCGAATAGACTACTGCAACACACTCTACTTGGGGTTGCCCTTGAAGACTGTTCGGAAACTTCAACTGGTCCAGCAAGCGGCAGCCAGACTACTCACCGGAGCGACATGCAGGGAGCACACCACCCCCCTGCTGTGTCAGCTCCACTGACTGCCGGTTCAGTTCCGAGCTCAATTCAAAGTGCTGGTTTTGACCAGCAAACCCTGTACGGTTCCGGTCCAGCATATCTGTCCGAACGTATCTCCCTCTACATCCCACCCCGGAATTTGAGATCATCTGGGGAGGCCCTGCTCTCGATCCCACCGCTATCCCAAGTGAGGCTGGTGGGGATGAGAAGCAGGGACTTCTCAGTGGTGGCCCCTCACCTGTGGAACTCACTCCCGGGAGAAATTAGGGCATCGACATCCCTCCTCTCCTTCAGGAGGAGAGTAAAGACGTGGTTGTGGGACCAGGCCTTTGGGCAATCTGACAACTAGACAAGGACAACCAGACGAATAGGACTGACAGGACTGACAATTGTGGAATTGGAATTTGGACTATGAGATAGCGAACGCTGACCGGCAATAAGGAGTAATTGGTTTGTATTGGTTTCTATGGATTTTTATTGGTCTTATTGGTTTTATCGGTTTATAGATGCAATGTAGAATTGTGGTTTGATTGCTAATTTATGCTATTTTGTTTTATTACTGTTGTCATAGAATCATAGAATCAAAGAGTTGGAAGAGACCTCCTGGGCCATCCTCCAGTCCAACCCCATTCTGCNAGAGCGAGGGAGCGGCAGGAGGCATTTCTCACCCTTCTCAGTTCTCCCGGTGTGTGATAAACACGGAGTGAAGGCTGGAGCCAGGATCCCTCTTCATGATCCCACTTTAGTTAAGGCTAAACACACGAATCCCCCGCCTTGGTCTTGGCTTGGAAGACAGACGAGGCCAGAGATGAACTCTGCAAGGTTTCCCACTGAGAGCACGCCAAAGACATCTTTTCAAGATCAGAGAAAACTATTATTTTGGAGCGCGATGGCCTTTCTGCCTCTGCCGCCATCTTTGACCGTTCCGCCACATGAAAAATTACCTAACCTGTTGGAATGGATTTCTTGACCCCCTCGTGCCGTTACATTAAAGGGTATAATTTAATGCAATCTAACTAAATTAGCATCAATTAGACAGGCTAAATTAAAGGGCATGTCGCTAATAAATTTTATGCTAAACATATTCCTGATAATAAGCTCACTCAAAAGGCAGAATGAAATAAGAGACTTGGAGTTCTAAATATGGATAGAGAACCATGACGGTGAACCGATGACACGCATGTCAGCACTGACACGCATGGCTATTTTTGATGACACGCGGCCACATGAGGCCGCATACAGAGAAGTACACCTTATAAGAGTCCATCTAATTCCATCCTTAAATTTGTAAAAGGCTCTACATTATTCACTGCATAACTCATCATGGAATATATATTTTTCTTATTTGAACTATAAATATTGCAAAATTATGTTGTTTTTTTCTCAAAGTTGACACCCCACCCAAGTTATGCTCAGGTTTTTGGCAAATTTAGACACACCAAGCTCAAAAGGTTGCCCATCACTGATATAGAACAATAAGAAAACCTTGTAAGCTAATTCCATCACTGCCTTTCATGACCGAACAGATCACAGTGATATTGGGACAGAATGATTAACGCATTGTTTAAAGCAATGTAACTAAGCATGCTACAAAACAGGAGCTTTTTTGTTGAGCTCCAGGGCCAGAGAAGCAGATGGCGGAAACAGAAGAACGGCCTGCCTCAGGGGAGCGTGCTCGCTCCATCCATGTTCAACATCTACACAAATGACCAGCCACTGCCAGAAGGGACAGAGAGCTTCATCTATGCTGATGATCGTGCCATCACCGCTCAAGCAGGGAGCTTTGAGATGGTTGAACAGAAGCTCTCCAAAGCTCTAGGTGCTCTTACTGCCTATTACAGGGAAAAACAGCTGATCCCTAATCCATCTAAAACATAGACATGTGCTTTTCATCTCAAGAACAGACAAGCATCCCAAGCTCTGAAGATCACCTGGGAAGGAATCCCACGGGAGCATTGCAGCACCCAAATACCTGGGAGTCCCTCTGGACCGTGCTCTGACTTACAAGAAGCACTGCCTGAACATCAAGCAAAATGTGGGCGCTAGAAATAATATCATACAAAAGCTGACTGGCACAACCTGGGGATCACAACCAGATACAGTGAAGACATCTGCCCTTGCGCTGTGCTACTCTGCTGCTGAGTACGCATGCCCAGTGTGGAACATATCTCACCACGCTAAAACAGTGGGTGTGGCTCTTAATGAGACATGCCGCATTATCACAGGGTGTCTGCGCCCTACACCACTGAAGAAACAACACTGTCTAGCCGGAATTGCACCACCTGACATCCGCCGGGAAGTAGCAGCCAACTACCTCTGAGGATGTTTGCCACAGATGCAGGTGAAATGTCAGGAGAGAATGCCTCAGTGTTTATCAACCTTCCTAATTCCACGACCCCTTAATACAGTTCCTCATCTTGTGGTGACCCCCAACCATAACATTATTTTCGTTGCTACTTCACAAGTGTAATTTTGCTACTGTTATGAATCATCATATAAATATCTGATAGGCAGGATGTATTTGATATAAATATGCCCATATTTGAATACTGGTGGGGTGGGGGGGGGGGATAACTGGTTTTGTCATTTGGGAGTTGTAGTCGCTGGGATTTATAGTTCACCTACAATCAAAGAGCATTCTGAACTCCACCAATGATGTAATTGAACCAAACTTGGCACACAGAACTCCCATGACCAAAAATACTGGAAGGGTTTGGTGGGCATTGACCTTGAGTTTGGGAGTTGTAGTTCACCTACATCCAGAGAACACTGTGGACTCAAGCAATGATGGATCTGGACCAAACTTGGCACGGATACTCAGTGTGACCAAATGTGAACACTGGTGGACTTTGGGGGGAAATAGACAGGCCTTGACATTTCGGTGTTGTATTTACTGGGATG